AGCGTTAAGTATCGTTTTGTATCTATTTCATATATATATATATATATATATATATATATATATATATATATATACAGACGACATCTGCGACTCGATTTTGAGCAATGGCATCCCTTAATCCAATCTCAAATATGGACATCGCGTCTGTGGCTTTTTCGTCCCAGTGTGGTTTTACATTCCCTTATGGCAACTTTGGTAATCTTTTGCAGTACTTATTACAGTAATATTTCGGTGAACTTTCAAATGCCGTCTATTCCACCAATTGGGGCACATTCTGTTTTTACACTCACTGCAAGTAGAAACGTCGCATTAGAGAATAACTATCTGTATTTTGAGTCTTTGAAGGTATTTTAGGCTTGCCCTTAGGTAGATGCGGCCACATTCAGCACAAAGATCAAATTTTGTGACATTTTCAATTAAATTGGCATCAAGTTCTTTAAGAACTTGAGTTTTTATGCGCACTGATTTTCTTCAGATATATATATATATATATATATATATATATATATATATATATATATATATATATATATATATATATCGCTTCTAGATCATTTCACATTAATGTGGGGTACGCTAGGGCTCTATCCTTGGACATAGGTTGTTTCATTTCTTCATCAGCGACATTCTCCGATGTCATCAGTTCACAACTAGGCATTTATGCTGATGATACAACTATTTACTCCTGTCTTAGTAGCAAGTCTGATAAAGTAAAACTGGCAGCTGTTCTCGAAAATGGCGCCCAGTAAGTGGTTAATTAGAACAAGGAAGGGCTTGTAAATCTTAAAGCCTCTAAAACAAAGTTGCTGTCATTTTATCACCACAGAAAACATTTCTTCCTTCATGGGTAATGCTAACCACCAGAAGAACAACACTTTGTGCCTTCTTGGGTTCACGTTTTCCACTGACAAAGTGCAGTGATTATGTGGAATCAACTGCTAAGTCTACTACTAGAAACATTAGTTCACTGTGTCATGCCAGGCAGTGTTTCTCGCCAGAATCATGCACATTTATAAATTTGCAATTTGTTCGAGTATTGAATATTGTTGCCATATCTGGTCTAATGTTCCTCGAGATTCTTGACAAAATCCAAAGAAGGGTATGTTATGTAATCGATCCTGATGTGGCATCTCGACTTCAGTCACTTTCTGTTGAAACTTGACTAATGCATGGAATAATAATGCAACACAAAATGTACTTAGAACAAAATGTATTGAAACAAGAAAGTGTACACAATATTTACATATAGTCTTTTGTATATTCCTGGTAAGACCGTTCCTGGAGAATGTGTTGACTGAGTCGCAGTCGGACAGAGTCTCTGGTTGAATCTCTTGATTCCTCCCTCTCTTCTCGGTACCAACCATATTTATATGGTCGGTACTCCACTATGCAAATTAGGTGGATCCTACCACAACACTTTCCCACCACCGTGATGTGGGTCTCCTCCATATTTTCTATAAATATTTTTATGGCAATTTTTCTGATGCTCTTCTCTCCTTAGTGCTTGAATTTAAGCGTATTACTAGATTGGTAACAAGGTCTCACCGTTTAGCTGTTGAATTAGCTCGAGGTAACCGTATTTTCTATTCTAGTAGTTTCTTGCACTTCTCGCCTGTGGAACTCACTTCCTGTTTCTTGTTTCCTTGACACTTACAGTGTTAAAAAATCTAAATGCAACCCCCATCGCCGTCTTCTGTCTTTCTGAGTCTTATTCTTTTATTGTCCTTTTTTTTTTCTCCCTCGAGTCTTCTCGTTCTCTTTCACCCCTTACGCACCACAACTCTACGGCTGATCTCTTCCATGTGCTGTATGATTCTCAAGTTAAAATAGGTAGAATCTATCTACCATTTCATTGACGAAAAAAGTTATTACTGACTAAAATAGGATCTCGATTATAAAATAATGTCCTATTAACTAGTGTTCTGTTTGTCTCACTACCAAGGCAAAATCCTTGTTTGCTCACACAGCAAATCAGCCTATTTTAAATCGGATAGCCTAATCCATAATTATTGAATAAATCCTACTTTACTCATGTAGGTGTGTAAACCTGGATTGTTTATGTATAATTTGAATCTACAATTAAATAGGGATCGTAATTAGTATTGACTAGCAGTAGAGCCTGGCGTTGCCCGGGGATGTAACAGTAAGAGATAGATCAAGTATCGGCCATCATAAAGACTAAAAAATAAAATTGACAAAGATTATTGTTTAAGGTTGACGGACACGCATGTCTTAATTAGATTTTTTTTTTTTTTTTACGAATTGGTCAAACTCAAACTCAAACAAAAACATTGTTTTCAATCGTTATGAGTCTACCGATTGAATAGAATTTTATTATAAACAATTGTCTTGTAAATGGAATTTTAAAAGCATTCTGAATGTACAAATAAAGAAAAAAGTGTGCAAGACAATAAGAAACACTACCTACCAAAAAAAAGTGAAGTTTTGTTGAAATCGGTTGAAAAATGTAGGAAATCCGATCCCATATATAAACGAACATACACACACAAACAACCTGGGTTTTATAATAAGTATAACTCGATATGAGTTGTCCCCCTTTTCATTCTTGACAGCGAAGCCTCTTAATCGTGTTTTCAAATTGATTTAGTGAAAAAACAATTGTGTTTTTCCAATTTTTCGTGCTGTCAGAACAACCGCAGGGTAATTTTACGTAGTCCCGTGAAGTTTTGTTGAAATCGGTTGAAAAATGTAGGAAATCCGATCCAATATATAAACGTAGAGACACACACACGCACACAACCTGGGTTTTATAATAAGTATGATTAGGACATTATTTCGAACTTAAAAGTATTTTCGGTTAAAAAAAGAAAAAGAGAAAGAAATGCTATGGAGAATTCAATTCGTGGTTTAAAATTACCATCTGATACCCTTTATAACTATAGTGGTTGTAAAATTCGAAATCTAGAGTTAATGCTTACTCCATACCAATGTTTCCCAAGCTCAAGGACATCATTGAAGTTGAAGCAATTTATACAAGCAAATCGAAAACATTATGAATTATTTTTCTTGAAGATTCGGTTTATAACAAGTAAAATGATAATGAGGTTGGAAAATTCTCAAACATGTATAATCAACAATTTATATTATAAAAGAGATGAATCTCTGTCCGTCACACACCGTATGTGACTTTGTGTGCTCATATGTGATGTATGTACATATGTCTGCGTTGTGCGTGATTGACTTACTCGTGCTATAATTTAATTTACACAAGCACACGCAAACACACATACACGAACAATCTGAGATTGAAATATGACATTGTAATAATACATTCCTCTTTCACACAGTCCTGACCAACCCTGCCATGGGCTGAGCAATAAAGTCATGAAGTTGGAAATACGAAAAAAAATTAAATGCTAAAAAAAAATCATAATTATGATTTTACTGAACTTTTCGGAAATTATTCGGTAATGAACAGAATTACTTAAAATGTTTTTAAAAATTTCAAGAAATACTTGTAGGTCTTATATTAAATAGAACTAGACATGCGCTCATGCAAATCTATATGCACACACAATTTGAATAAAATTGAAATAATCATCTGGTTAATTTCCATTTCTGTCAGTCAACAACCTCTGGATAACAAGAAAAGAGTATAAGCCGACATGTGCTGCACTTTGAAGCCATTGCTATGATTCCTTCTGTAATTAAATTGAATATATTTTCTAATATATGTAGTATTTTAATTAATCAAGCAATTTAGATTAGAAATTTGATCATGTTACCGTCAGCGAAGCAACGTGTACCGAACTAGTATATTCTAATTGATATTTACTGCAGATATTGGAAAACTCAATAAATTAACTTAAGATTTATAACAAAAAAATAGTCATCTGAAATGAGAACAGGAAGTGTAAACATAATAGAAATATGTAGGAATGAAAAGTTAAATTTATATTTTAAATCATTTAACTTATTAAGGTTATTTAAGTTTTGTTCATACATTATGAATGATGATAAAAGATATGAAACATTCATTATGACCACCTGAATTAATCTCCTGAATACACATCGTTGAATATATTCGTTATATCCGAGCAAAGATATAAGAAACTTACCATTTTTGACTGTTGTCCAAGAAAATGCAATTGAGTTAAATCCAGAAAGTACTTGGTTTGTGCGGTAGAGAATACATTTTCTTGTTTAGAAAATAAACAGTCATACGTTGGAGAAGAAATTTCCATTAGCTCAGGGTAAGTTTCACCGGGGTAGGTAATAAAAGAAAATTCCCAAGAAGACCCGGGAAGAGTAATGGTTACGGTCGTAGGTAACCTGTTTGAATCAATCATACACGGAAAAGATTCCCCGAAGGTTGGTATTAAGTCCATGGTCGCAGTTGGGCTTTGCTGGTTAGTGTAGACGTGTGGAGGGGGGTTTAGATTTGTATTCGTACAATAAATACAAGAATTTGTACTTTGGTTTATGTTACTTGCATTGGTATTAAGAGGGAGATAGCCATACTTTAGTGACTCAAATTTTGCAGGTTTTGTTGGAATAATATTCGTCGCAGGTGACGAACAAAGAAATTCATTGGCTTCATCAGGTTTAGTATGCAAACTAAGGGAGTTTGATGAAGAGCTTAAGTTGATACTCGAAGTATCATGCATATCTGATAGCGAAGAGATTGACTGCACATTTAAAACATAACGATCGATCTTATCGACCTTATTTACTTGAGAAACATTCTGTTGAGGTGATTTTATTGGTCGGATTAAGCTGGAATCAGAATGCACGGATTTGTCGATCCGAGTCAAAGTTTTCACTGGAATTTCTCTTAGCCGTCGTATGCCAGTATTATCTGTCAGAGCTCTTTCTACAGTGTTTGTGAATGAAGAACCTTTTTCCCTTGTCTGTTTATTGCTACGAGAAGGGAAGTCTGAAAATAAGACTTTCGAATCAAGTTCTAAACCAGAACGAAGTTGTGTCTTAAAGCATTTTTCTTCTATGGGTGATTCTTTCCAGTTTGTACAAGCTCTAACATTTGGTATCACAAGAGAGTTGTCAGTTTTTGCTGCTGTAATTGGTTTTTCTTCATCTGAAATTATATTATTTGCTGGAGAAGAAAGAATACTGGATGGACTAATAACGTCCGTATTTGTTGAAGAAGATGTGCTCGAGAGAGAGAAATTGTTATTAGTTATATCGGGAAAGACCTTGTCTCTCATCGGAGACGCACAAGTTGTAAAATAGGAGGTATCTGAAGATGGCGAAGATACATCAGTAGCAGGAGACAAATCACTGTTGTTTACTGGATAATTCTCCATACTGGTGGATGTAAAGAATGTCTCAGCACTAAGAGACGAGGATATATTTGTCGTCTCCCGAGACAAAAGGGAATAATCGGTACTAGTAAGAGAATGAGGATAAATATCTTCACTCGGTGGTAACGAAGAACTTTCTGAAGAGTTAGAAGAATCGGAACCAAAATCTTCATCTTGAATTGCAGGTTTTGACTGAACATTATTATAACTGTTATTATTATTATTATTATTATCATCATCATTATTGTTATTATTGTTGTTATTATTATCGTCTAAGAGAACTGACAATTGTGAGCTGGTATCGTCTTCTTTCGACGCGTGTATGTCTATTATGGCGCATGGGATATCTGTGTGGGTCGGAGAAGGAAAAGAAACACCGGAGCTAGATATGGAAGTAGAAAAGACGTTTGTACCCGTAGTAGTTGACGGGTATATATCTGTACTTGCAATTATAGAAGTTTTCTCCGTGCAATATTCTTGATGGGATTGCTCTGCACTCGGTAAATGTGTGTGTTCTTTTGGATCAGTTAGATCATCTCCATCAATGCAAAAAAGTGAAATATCAAATTTTGGAAGGACTAGAGGGGCAGCAAAATTATCACTGGATTGTCCAGGCGGCGGGTATGTCTGTCGGCACAAGACATTGTCGTTATCATCAGTATATGAATAAGTGTTGTCTTTACGACCAGGCAGCGAAAATGCTAGTTCCGTAGGCCGGGGTTTAGGATCTGAATCAGCGGAGGCTGTTCGTAGTTCAAGCTGACTTAATTGGGGTGGGGCACTATTTACTGACTTTGGAGGGTCTGGGGCAGCAACATTCGTAGCGATTGAATAAAAATCCATATCAACTGGATGGGTAGATGAAATGTCCACGACAGGAAAGGGTGGGAATGAGGATTCGTCATCACTGCTCGAAGAAGGTGGGGGTGAATTTTCAGTTTCGAAAGAAAAAGTGTACCTGTCTACATTTTTCGGGCGGTTATCAGAAGGAAACGTGATGCCGGTTTTGGAAGCAAAGGGATGCGTGTCTGAGCAGACGGGCTCCGAAATTGAATTACGGTATTGGGGTGGAGAAGTATTGTGAACGGAAGTTGGTAAATAATTTTGAGCACTCGGTTGAGTAATAATATCAGCATCTGTCGATAGAGAAGAGACGTCACTTATAGTTGCAGGAACAGGTATATTGTCCGTAGTATTATTCGTTAAAGGATATATATCAGGACTTAGGGAGACAGAAGAAGATATATCTGTTACAGGTGCAGTAATGGGAAATATATCTATATCAAGTTGAGGTGGAGGAGGCAGAGGAGGTGAAGGAGGAGGAGGAAAGTCGCTTATTGCTGGGGAAAGAAAGGGGGAAATATCAGGGGCTGAGGAGAGTGGAGAGATGCCGGCACTTGTTGAGAGAGCCGACAAGTCTGATGGTGTAGAGAGAGGGAAAAGTTCTGTACTGGTTGAAAGAGGGAGATTATGGTTAACATTTGACGTTTTAGTGTTAGCTGTTTCTGCACTTGACGAATTTCGATTCTCCGTGACTGGGACAAAATTCTTCGCGTTGGGCATTATCTCAGAATGCACGGGAGAGGAACCAAGAACGTCGTTGATGATATCAGGTAACTTTTCTCTGTTGACAGGAGATGAAGATTTTTTTCTGAGGACACATACATCAGTATAAGTTGGGGTTGATTTTGCTGAACTTTTAAGAAGAGAACTGTTTGATTCAGGCAAAGAATATGATGAAATGTTAGTGTTTTTCGTTGCTGAAGAAGAGAGCTCCGAAGACTTTGACAGAACTTTAGGTTGGGATAAATTTGCATTTTCTGTTACGCTAGAATAAGAGTTTTTGTCTGTGGGTAAAGGGCTCTCTTCACTTAATGACTGGAAAGGAGGAGGTGGTGGGTGAAAGGTGTCAGGGTCGGGATCATGTTTAGGAAGTTGTGGGTAATTATCAGAACTACTTGTGCCGAGGGAAGAGAAAGACGACGACATGTCTGTCGTGCTAGTTGAGGAAGGTAATATGTCAGTTTCACAGGTGTCGTTCTCGGGTGAAACATTTGCGGGAGAGAGAAATACGTCGGCACTGGAGGAGAACGGAGGTGGAGGAGGGTGGAATATGTCTGTCGAAGACTGAGGAAGGCCGGGGAATCCCTCGGAAGAGGTGGTAAGGGAAGAGGAAGATGGAGAGGAATTGCTTTCCCTGCTGGACGTCATGGAGGAAAACAAATCGGTGCTCGGCGCGTCTGCAAAAGAAATATCGGAACTGGCAGAAGGGCCGGTCGAGATATCTGAACAGGAACCAAATGGCGGAGGTGGTGGGAGAAAGACATCGATGCCTGGTTGTTGCAGAGGACAGGAACTGTCAGCGTTATCTGATTCCATTGCTAGACTTTGAGAGGAAGTGCTGGAGCTGTTTGTTTGGGCCGGGTAGATATCAGTGCTGACTGTGAGAGAAGGTGACATGTCAGTGAGGGTCGATACGGGAAAAACACTGGGATTAATATTTGAAGCCGAAGTAAACATATCTGTATTATGTCTAAGGGAAGAAAACATGATTGATCTTGCTGTGAGGCAGTGAGGGGTGTCTGTGTTTGATTTTGCAGAGGAAGAAGGGTTGGAGCTAGTGCTAGAGGGTGATGGTTGACGAGAAGATTTAAAGGGGATAAAGATGTCTGTCCGAGATGTTGAAGTGTTAGCTGTATCCGTACTTGTTGTCCTTACTGATGATATATCACTGCTAGTGGTCACTGGAGAGATGTCTGTACTTGTTGTTACTGGAGATGTACTGTCACTTGAAGAAGGAGATATATTCATTAGAAATTCAGGGCCGATGTTGGCAACCAAGGGTTTTCCATGTGGTATCTAGAAAAAGTAAAGAATTTAAAAGGACATATTAAAAAAAATCATCACATCTTAAGCAAAAACAAATATTAATAATTCTATAACATCATTTTACGAAAGTCAATTCCTCACAACCCAGCGTGGTTGGTTTTTGTTCAGGTAAGGGATGCATCGATAGCATATATGTTATCAAACTCTAAGAAATTGCTTACCTGTAATAGGAAACTGTATACCGGCTTTGTGGGCCATATAGCATATCACCACATCAATAGAGACTTCCTCTTCTCATCGATTAGAAACTGCCTTCCAAGCTCCAAATTAATCTGAATGCATTGAACTAATGGAGGAACTGTATCAATCAACAGAATTTTACAAATTTTGTAAGGCCCACAAACCTCAGGGGCCATTCCCTCAGGCAGTACCTCTTTATTGGAAAGGTGCTGGGTTTATTGTTTGGTGCTTAAGCTGTACCCAAAATGCGGAATTGCCAAATGGGCTTGAGAATTTTTTGGTATTGCTGATAAACCTATTTTAAACTTGACCTTATGTCACATGTTGTGATATGGGGTGTGGCTAAATATCTAGTCTTGAATGTAGAAACAATAATGACTGTACAAAACTGCAGTCCCTACTTGGAATATCATAACAATATGGCATCACCAATAGGATCTTTGTTGCAGACTTCGTTGAAACTTGGATAAGGTACTTCACAGCCCTTGTCAGAACAAAGAAACTATGACACAACAGAATAAATGGAGGTGAAAACGAAGTCATAGATTTGTTTCTGGCAACAGCTGGTTGTGAAGCTGTTGGAAGAACTGACATTTAGCAAATCAAAGAGATTATTCTAAAGAATATTCAACCAAAGAAAAGGTTGGTCATTGCCAAACAAACCAACTACTTGTCATTAAAATCCATTAGAAAAAAAATCTGCACCAGTTACAAGATGCTAACAGATATTGTGAATTTCAATGTTTAGGGCAAGAAGAAATGTCTATTGAAGAGGAATTGATTCAACTAAGACTGACAGAAGGGATGTACAATACTTTGCATAGATTTAAAACAGTTACAGTTAAACCAAATGTTGTTAGTGGTATGTATCTGATTTATACAACAGGAAGAATTGTTTGAAAAATTCAATAAAGAAAACAATCAACCCGAAATTATGGACACATACTTGATAAAGAAAACAAAAATAAAATGTAAATATCGTGAGTGTGAACCAATGACAAATGTCTGGCATTGGGGAAGATATGTAAAAATTGTAAAAAGAAAAATCATTTTCAATCAGTATGTGAATTAAGAAAGAAAAATATAAGTTTAAAAAAATTGAAGACACTTTAAAAAGTGAAACTGATGTTTTCTCTATACAGAAGAATAATAAAGAAAATACATTCATGGAAATTAAATTGAATGGGGTAAATTTAAAAATGCAAATTGATGCCAACAGCAATGTAATGCTAATTGTGAAGAACTTTTGGGAACAAATGGGTTAATCTGAAACTATTTAAAAGTCATTTAAAATTAAGACAGTTTGATGGTTCATACATAAAGACATTAAGATACTTTGAAGAAACATTTGAGATGAAAACCAGGATCAAAATTGTTACTTTTGTAGTTGTAGACTGAAATAAAAGCCATGGCTTAATTGGAACAGATGAGCTTAAGGTTAATAATGCATGTTTGAATTCAGTTAATCCTAAAAATGGAATGTTAAAAGATTGTAAAGCAAGTATTAAATTAAAAGAAAATTGTAACCCCTTGTATTTTGAATTTTGCATACTTCTAATTCATTTACTACCCATGGTAGTGGCAAAACTATGTAAAATGGTTGAACAAGGTATTTTGGAACATGTTCCTCCGGGTGTAAGTAAATGGGCACATCTATAGTAGTTCTGAAAAGGTCAAATGGTGATCTTAATATCTGTGGTGACTATAAAATGTACATAAACCATAAGATTTTTTTCTGATTCTTATCCAATACTAAACATGGAAAATATATTACATTTGTTAGCAGGAATGAAATACTTTATGAAAATTGATATAAAAAGTGCATACCATCAAATTCAAAATGAAGATAAATTTAAGGAAATCACTATCATTAACTTCCCAATCAGACTGACTCGTATAAAGGGGAAAACAGCAAGTGCTATCTTTCAGAAAGCAATAGAGAATATCCTAAGAAAGGACATAAAAAATATGATGATATATGTTTGGGTGCAACCAATGAAGAAGAGTTGAAACAAAACCAACCAGGAATTAAATTGAGTAAGGCTATCTGGAATTACTATTAACAAAGATAAATGTGTATTGAATTGTGAAAAAATATTTTATATTGGGTACCAAATTTCATAAGACAAAATTTTGCCAGACCCAAGTTTGACACAGAAAATATTAGAGGTCTTCCTACCAATAAAAAAAAAATTAGAATTCTTTTTTGGTTTAGTGAATTTTTATAGTAAATACTTACCCAAATATTCAAAACTAATTGAAGCATTTACCAAGATGCATAAAAAGAACAATGAATTTAAGTGGCCTAATTTACAACAAACACTATTTGATAATTTGAAAAATGCCTTTGCAAAAAAACCCTGCTATCAAGATTTTTGAACCACCAAAAGGAAGTTACATTAACTTTGGATACTAGTAAAAACTTCCATATTGACACTCTTAACCCAGAAAGGACACCCAGTTATGTAATTTTACTGGGCATTAATGGTGGCCAAATCTAATTACTCAAATATAGAAAAGAGGCTTTTCCTATAGTTTGGAGCACTAGTATGGCTTGTCAGTTTTTATTGGGTATAAAATTCTTGTTGAAGTCTGACCATAAGCTCTTAGAATTCGTTTTTAATCTGAGGAGGGAATTACTGAAAGTTACGTCTTCCAGAATATTAAAATAGGCCATAAAGCTAATGGCTTTTGATTTTGATATTGAATATGTAAAAGAAAATACTATTCCCGATGCATTTGGTAGAAACTGATATTCTATTCATAAATTGATTTGCCTCAGAAAAATTACAGGACCCAATATTAAGTAAAATTATAAGTAGAATTAAAACTAATAAATGGAATAATTGTTCAAAAGCTGAAAGAAATTAGAGATAAGCTAACTGTAAAAAATGGTGTTGTATGTTTTATAGAGATTTACTATTTCTACCTGAAAACTGTAGAAAAGATATAATAAAGTATGCATGATAATGTGTATTGTAGAATTACAGCTACACAGATCCATTTGAAATTAGAAGCATGGTAGCCTGGATATACATGTGATGTTGAAAATCATGTATACAAATATCCAAAATGTGCTGGTTGATACTATTACCTTAGTTACAAAATTATACCACATGCTAACAGATTAGAAAGTCTATCTGCATTAATGGGGAGACAGATTAGAGCCACATTAACCATGTCATACTTCATTAATGATAAAATGTGGTACAAAAAACAAAGAGCAACTGCACCCAAAAGGACAGATTTTATAATTCAGAAGAGACACAATATAGCATTAACATTTTAAAAAGGCTATAATGTTTATACCCATGTGGAACAAATATGATCCAGACAAGAATACAAAGGGGAGATGGAAATTGAACTAGGAAGTGACTCCAACTCAGACCCTATAAACCAACAGGAAATGAGTAATGAAGAGTTAGTGGAAGAGCAAGACAGTTTCGACAATTCAAGCATCGATAGTGAAGAACAAGACTTCACCAACAAATAAGACAGATCTACATGTCCCATAGGGAAAAATACATACAGATCTCTAGAAAAAGGAAGTCAAAATGAAAGTATAAATATACAAAAAACTTGAGATCAAAGGACATAAAGCCTATTTGTATCAGGGATATGTGGTAGTGGTTGGTTAGTGCTACCACTAATTAGTATATGTGCATGAGGAGACATTATGTATAGGCTTGCAATGTATGGTAGTGGTAATAATCTTGGATTGTAGAAACAATACTGACTGCACACAACTACAAACCATACTTGGAATATCATAACACTTTGGTTATTGAGATTTTACAGATCAAGTAGAAAAAATCTGTTGACTTCAAATTTTGCTGCCTTGAGTTCCTATCTCTAATCTCTGAGCTTAACATGCAAGGATCAATGCATTAACCTAATGTAAGTTTACTTATATTTGGATAATGAAAGATTCAAGCATTTTTTTTTTTTTTGACAAAATCTTTTATTCATATAAATTCATACTATCAATCTTTAGTAATAAAATTATATCATCTAGCTTTATATAAACTTTCAGAAAAGTTTTGTATTTTATCATATTAAATTACAATATCTGATGGCATCAAAACCCACAGGTATATAAGACCTCACCTACATTTCAAAACGGTGACTTTCACCCTGAAATCCCTTCTCCAAAGATGCACTATTGCAAGTTTATCACTACTTTATTTCTTCTATGTCAGTGTTTAGAGAAGCTCCATTCTTTAGTGTCCCAGTTCAGACATTTGAAGCCAAGTCCTGCTTTGTTATGTTTACAGGGTTGAATCACCCTCAACCCTAATGTATTCCACTGGTAAGAAGGATGTTCCATTCAGAAAGCTTCTTCTTGAAAACTGCTACATTATGGAATAGACTCTTGCAGAGATGCTTCCACAAACACTACAATCTTAACCTTAAGTCTAGACTCAATAGTTATCTATTCTTCATATCCTCATAATATTGACTTCCTATTTCTTCCTCTTACATTCATATCACCTACATCATTCAGTAACATTCTACCTTGAATGAATCTTGGGCCTTGTATTGGGTGAACATTAGTAAAAAAAAAACAACCAAAAAACTGTGTATTTAATTAACCCCAACTTTATAAATAAAACTTGGAGGATATTCTTTTAACCAATTTTGGGAAAAAATGTTGGACTTACATGCCGTCAAATATGATAATGCAAATGTCTACTACATTTTGTGAAAAAATCTTTTATTCATATAAATTCATCAAGGCACTTTGATGTGGTGTAATGGTTAATAAGCTTGTCTTGCTAAATTAATTACAA